TCAGAGGGAGGTGGTTTACATTTTGTATTTCAAGAGAGGCTCCTGTCTTCCTTGAGAGAAACCTGTCCTTCCAAACCAAGACACTAACTCCAACAAGAAATCTACAGGAATAGAGTACAGCTTTATTTCCCTTTTATTATTTAATTCGTAGAGACAGTCCTGATGTGACAACTCATTTTTCCTGTTAGTCCTGGGCATCCTGGGCTCTTACTGGTCTCAGGGAGCTCAAGAATTCCCAGTTTGGGGTGGCACAGACCTAAAGCCTGGAAGAGCTTTCCCTCCACCTGGCTCCCTGGTGTTCTCCATCCCAAACCATGCTTCCCTCTGCGTGTTCTGTCCCCCTCAGAGGCTTTGGAATTGTGAGTTCCAGCCGAGTCTGCCTTGCAATTCCCAGGGCTTGGGAGCCGCCTAGTGGAGTCCTCTGTGAGTCCTGAAATTCTGCCAGTCCTCCTCCTTATCACTGCACTGCTGGCTGATACCACTCCCAGCACTGTGCGAATCCACAAAATCGGAGGGTTTTGGGAAAGCTGCAAAAGGCAGGCCTCAGAGACAGCAGAACTGGGGTTGGAGCTAAGCAGCAGCCATGAGATTGGTCAGCAGAAATATTATTTAAAAAGTAGAAAAGCAAGGACAAATAGAACAATGGTCTGTGTATTAACGCTTGTCTAGAATAACTCTCTAAGCTACAGAAAAGTTTAAATAGCAAGATATTCAGAGTCCTCTGTGAGTCCCATAATTCTGCCAGACCTGCTCCTTATCACTGCATTGCTGGCTGATACCACTCCCAGCACTGCTTTTACAGCTGAGCACCACAGAAGGACTTCACTTGGACTTCATGTCTTGGTCTTTTCTACAGAAATGGGAGTCACTTTCTAAGGTATAAAACTGAAGGGAAAAAACAAAAAGAAAAACAAAAAGGCAGTGACTGAACTGGAATTAAGTGCTGATTTCCTACTGTGACAAAGATATTTTCTAACCTCCCAGATCTCAGCATTAGACCTGTGGCCAGTAGTAACAAGGAACTTGGTTCTGCAGACCCAAGTCCCAACAAAATTAGAAAATACAGAAATAGACCATGACACTCCCTATACTACTAAAATAAAACACCAGTCTGATTCACCAGCATCAAAATCTATGAAAATAGGCAGCTGTAAACTAAACAAAATTGCAATCACACACAAAGTCCCACATGAGCACACAAGCACTGGGATATCACTGATGCATCAGGGTGAGCAGCAGTTATTCTGATGCAGGGGTGTATAAAATAAGTAGAAAGCTCTGAATCAGAATCTGATTTTTACTTTCCATCTGTGATTGCTTTGCATGCTGAGGTTAATTAAGGATGAAAAACATAATTAACCTTGTTTTAAGCCACGGTGTAGTTTGGGAGAAAAATCTGGTGTATTTGTGCACTACTTGGATCTAAGTGACAGGAGTTGGGACTTCCCACTTGTTTCCAGGGCTGTAATAACACAGGACAAGGCATTAGGACAGCATCCATGGCTCAGGACAAGCCAAGGAAAAAGCCAAGGAAAAAGCGTGAGGGAGCCCTGGGAGTCAGGGATGTTCCCAAAGCTCAAAATTAAAAAATGTCTTGTGATTCCTGTGAGGAGCTGAGAAACCAGAGTGGGACTGGAGGAAAAAGAACCTGATTTGTTGTGGCACTTCTCTAGTTATCCCACCTGAAATGACAAAAAGGAACTGACTTATAAAAAAACCAAAACAACAAAACATAGAATACAATCATATGAGTGAAATAATATCTTAAGGGAATGTCATTCTTCCCCCAAATCAAGTACACACTATGAACTGATTTCAACATTGCTTTTAAAACACATAAAGCTCCATCCAGCATCTGAAATCAAAACCACAAACACAGATGGAGCTGAAAATGCCTATTTTTCCTTTGAAAATATCTAACAGCTGTTAAAACAGACACCAAATGGTAAAAAGGTGGAAAAAATACAGCAAAGAAGCAGCATTGACAGGAAAAAGATAACATCTCAGCCAGGGAGAGGACAAGAACAGTGAAAAGGCATATTCACCTACATTTATACACTTGTTTCCTTTTAAAGTTTGAGAGGCCTCTCAAATCAAGGGAGTAATGGTTATGAGAAAAAGAGTTCCTCAAGTTAAAAGCAAAGTTTTTGCTCTGTTAGTGTGTGATATCCTGTGCACTGGGACCAATGTCTTCCCAGGCATGCCAAAAAATCCTGCTTTAAATCACCATCAGACATACCTATAGATATAGATTAACTCTAGATACAGATTAGATATATAGATATAGATATAGATATAGATATAGATAGTTATAGATTAGATATAGATATATTTGTTTATTATACAGATTATATATAGCTGGTATGTAACTATAGATGGTTATAGATTAGATATAGATATATTTGGTTTTTATACAGATTATATATAGCTGGTATATAACTACAGATAGCTACAGATTAGATATAGATATATTTGTTTATTATACAGATTATATATAGCTGGAAAAAAAACCCATTTCTGTGTATATCTAGTCTGAAGAGAAGTGGAAAACATACAACAAACAAAGCAAAATAAATGTAAAAACCCAACAAAGCTCAGGACTTTACCAGGTGCTGTGGCTTTCCCAGAATTGTGCATTGGGCATGGACCAGCATTGCCATTGCCACTGGATCATGGTTTAATAAAGATGGGAATGCCCCGTTTGTAGAAATCCTTGGAAGGGTTTCTAGGATGATTTGTAGGAATCCTTCTGGTCTTTCAGCTGTGGGTGATTCTAAGAAATGACTGAGCAGCTTCACAGAATCTAACTCCATGTGCAGCATGTTTAAGCTTATCAAGGGGGTACAGCAGTTCAAGATATTTTACCTTTTAGATTATTTTCCCTGCCTTAAGATAAAGGGAAGAAATTATATATCTGTATCTTGGCTTCTTAATATGCATTCACGAAAGGAAGTTTGTAATTTTGAATTCCACAACCTTCATCTCCCAGTCATTAGCTGGGACAGATGTGAGACTCAGAGAACAACTCTGAAGGGTTCCAGGTTCACCTCAGAGGTTAGAAAAGGGATTTATTTTCCTACATTGCTCTTCCCTGGTGTTGCAGCTGATTATTTTGTGGAAAAGAATTTCGATATATTTCACAGGACAGAATCAAGGAAGTTCAGACTTCCCAAGGTGTCTGCCCTCAGGTCAAGCTCTCTGTCCCCTCAAGCAGGAGCTCTGGAGTAAACTGAAATGTCACTGGACTGAAAAATCAAATACTAAACTCTCTGTGCATCACTGACTGTGCCTGTAAATAGGAGCTGGCAAATTGTGTGCCCCTCTTAGGGTGAAGCAATACTGAAATACAGAATACTGCTGTGTGCACTGGGGTGAAATTTGCCTGTAAAGCACACATAAGCACCGTGCAAAAACCAAACACACAGAGGAAAAAATCTGCCTGCTGTGGCACACACACTCTCTTGAATTCTGCAATCTTCACATGAGGCAGTCAAAAAGAAAAAGAAAGCTTGGTAAATGTGGTGAAAAATTTAAAAACAAAACTGTAGAAAAAGAAAAATGGGAGGGGGGAAAAGTGAAGAGGTGGAGAATTCTGAGAAACAGAGGCGTCCAGCTTGGCTTCAGATACAAAGGCAGCTTTTTAAGCTCCTAGCACATGGTTTTCTAGCAAATAGTGTTCGCATGACCATGAGTTTTTCCAAACAAGGCATTCAGTCAGGAAAATTATGAAATCAAATAAATACAAATTGCCTCCAATGCAGTAGGCTCATGTAAGTTAATTATAATTAATTTTTAAGTCAGACTAAGTAGAATTATAATTCCAAAAAATGATGTCTGTCATAAACTCCACTGAATGGACACAGAGCTGTGTTAAGAGTATTGTTTTCAGCTGGAAAAGTAGTGTCAAGAGAAAAAGGAGGAGGAACTTCTTTTAAAAACAGTTTTATGTCTGGTTTCCAGGGCCACTGTAAATAGGCTGAATAGTGGAAGTGAAATGAGTTGCTTTAGGTGGATTTACAGGCACAGACACCAAGCACCAGAGCTCCCTGTGTTCCACCCACTGTGAATCCACTCTGACCTGCAAAGAGCACACTCTGCAGGATTGGTCACACGAGAAAGCAGATGGGAGGAGAAAGGAGGGGAAAATAAATTACTTTTATTTGTGTTATTTAATAAAATTTGGCCTACAGGCTGGATTTGACTCAGTGCTGAACATCTGGGATTGATCATAGGATCACAAACTGAGAAGTAGTCATCTGGCTCCTAGAAATAAACACGTTCAGTCCCTCTGCCACAACGTTACTTCCTTAATGATAGAATGCAACAGCCATTTTAAGTCCTTTTAATCTTTTCAGACACCGTACTTTTTAACTTTTGAGTAATTTTTACTATTATTTTTTCGCTTGAGATGACGGTAAATTGCATTTGACCTTGGACTGGCAGCGTTTGGGATTGCCCACAGAACTGATTCACCACTTTCCTCCAAAAGCCTTCTGGTGCCATGGCAGCCTTGCAGGTCCATTTCTTGCTGGTTCCATCCCTCATGAGCATCCTGGGAGCAGCACAGTATGTGATGCAGGATGCAGCCCTGCTGAGCTACATTGACCAGCGTTTTCTGTCTCTGGAGGTATGTGCCTGATAAATCCTTCTGCAGCAAAAAGAGGCTTGAAAATGTGTGGATGTTCTGGGGCCACGACAGCCTGTATGATATATCAAATCAGGAGGGTGAATTTCCAGCTTTGTCCAATGGATGAGTAAAATCGTGGCTAAAACTTTAACTGTAATGATCCCAACTCATTGCATCATTTATTGCAGGATAAAATTTCATAATGTTATCTTTTTATTCTAATTTTTTTTTAAATGGCATCATTGAATTTAGCTAAAAATGCAAATGTTTATACAGAACTGTCACAGACCATCCTAGGGAGCAGTATAAACATATTTTCACCTATAGAAGGGCTGTCAAGTATTTGTTAACAAGGAGATAGAAATTTATCAGGTATTTTTCTCCCGTGTGCAGATATCCCCACCTGGAAGGGCAGTTTAAGACACATTCATGCAAACCAGCAGAGTATCTGCACTTCAAATAAACCCTTAATATCAGAGAGACTGAAATGCAGTTCTTTCAATTCCTTGAATTCCTTTCAATTACTTATATAAATGTACCACTTCTTGCTTTTTTCCTACAGTAAAAAGCTACCAGTACTGCAAAATACCTCTTCAGTATTGGTGTGTTACCATCATATATTGTTTATTTTTAATTATTGACATGTCCCTGGCTCCTGGCTTACATTTTCAGACTCACAGAGAAGCTCTAACTTGTCTGATTTGATGTCCCTTTCCATACAAAGCCCTCACTAGTCTTATCTTCTCAACACTGAAGGATTAACCTGATATTCTCTTCCCACTGTGTAGATGGAGATTTACATTTTCTTTGCCACTCTAGGAGTAGCTTCACCTGGCAATTTCTATTCCTTTGGCACCCATTAAAAATGAGGTAACCTGTGGCATTTGGTGCAAGGGGCACAAAAGGAACAGGACAGAGAAGTGAGGCAGATACTGATGACAGCACTTGAAAGCATTTAAAATAAAGGTTTTGTAGAAAGCAATTAAGCAACTTCCTGGGGGCTTATGGTCTTGTATAAATGGGGGAGAGAGGAGGTGGCACAGAAAGCACAGCTCACAAAGCAAACCAGCCAAAGATCTGCTCAAATTCCTCCTCTTCCCAAAGTGGCAGCTGAACTACTATTTTCAGGATACCTGTGAAGCAGCTGCATTGCAACAGAGAAACATATTTCTTACCTTTGAAAACACTGATAATTTGAATTTAGGTGTAAAGAAATAGGTTTTTTGCTTTCTGTGTTTGGGGGTGGTTGTTCTTTGTTTTTTTTGTTGTTGTTGTTTTGGATTGGGTTTTTGTTTTTTTTAATACAGCTAATAATTTGAGGGGAAAATAAAAAAACAAAACAAAAAAAAAAGAAACAACACAAAACTTCCTCAACTATAGCATTTCAGTATTCTCATTTTCACCTTTAAATGGCTGAAAAATAGCCACACTAGATTCTGCCTTGGTCAGAAGAGGTGTATCCATGTGAAATGCTCATGGCTGTAGATTTCCTGCAGAAAACTGAGGCTGCTTCACCAGCACAACTTCTCCGAGGACTTTTCCTGGGGAAGGCAGTGAGAAGCACAGAGAGAAGAAGAGAAAACAATTCTTGTCTCTATTCCCTGCTCCTGTTGTTTTTGCACATGTGGAATGTGTTATGGAGATTGTTTACCCGAAGTGATTTGCTCATTGGACACTGGTGAAGGTTGTTTTGATTCCTTGGCCAATTGGGTCAAAGCCGTGTCACGGCTGTCTCCAAACAGACACGGGGTTTTCTTTAGTATAGTATCTCTTTAGTATGTAATTTAGTATAGTACTAGTGTAATATTATAGCTTAATAAAGCATTTGTTCAGCCTCCTGAACCACGGAGTCAGAGCACGTGTTGGGGTCCTCCTGAAATGACGTGTCAAGTCAAAAAAAATGTGGATTTTTGTCCAGATTTTTGAATTCTGTGCCAGTCTGAGGGTGTTCTCCTCACACAGACACCCTGAGCTGGAATAGGTGGGTGCAGGGCACTGGGAAGGAGGGAGCAGCAGGGTTGTGAAAGTGACCATGAGCAAGGTCGCGATGCGCGCAGAATGCCCACGTCTGTTCTCTTCCCATGTTCTGGCTGAAGAGGAGGCTGGAGAAGTGCAGCCAAGACCTGCTGGAATACGTGGATGAATTCAGGGAGCTCTCCAAGGCGGCGCTGGCCCGCCTGGCAAGGCTGAGCACCGACAAGGCTGAGCTCAAGGAGGAGGTGGAGAATCTGCTCACGAGGGTCGAGCGCGCCCAGAGGGACATCGACTATTTAGGATCTATCACGGATTCCAACGCCTGCGTGGAAGTGCACGAGGACCTGCTGAAACAGCAGCTGCTGGAAGAGGCAGAGGAGAAAAAGAGGCTTAAACTCATGCTTAACGCAAGTAAGAGCAGTTTGTTTTTCAGAGCTTCGGTGTGAGCAGTCCCACGCGCGCGTGCTGGTGCAGGGATAAGAGATTTTCATCTGCAAGGGGGTTTGGGCTGTGTAAATGCAAGACTTATAAAACCCATGTATATGCAAAAAAGGGACGGGAGAGGGAGGGAGGAAAATACAGTTCAAACATTTACTTTGCAGAAATTCTACTGCATATCAAATTAATTCTTTGGAAGTTACTTTTTTATTATAAAATACGGTAAAATCCTCTGGAGGTGTGATGTTGCAAAGTCCCAGAAAAACATATTTCTGAGTACTGCAGCTGTACTAAGGAAGTAATAGTGGTCTTTGCTTTTTGGACTAGGCAGGGTCAAAACCTCAAGTCAAAAGTAAATTCATGGGTAAATAAACTACTTAATTTACTTCCACAATTTTTACCAGCTTTACTATCCTGCTCTGTCATCCTTCCTTTCCTTGTCCCCTCCTTCAATAAGAGAGCACACTGGCTTGGCTGTCAGCAAAGCTTAGTTCTGATTTGTAAATTTGGTGTTATGGTACCTAGCATGAAAAATACATGCACAATCTATAATTTTTTTAAAACAAATGGCATTTCTTAATTATCTTTGCCTTAAGAGGTTTTGGTATGGATGTAAACTATATATTACAGACAAATTTAAAGAAGACTTTTCATAGTAGTAAGAAATGAAGAGTAAATAATAAGAGATACAAACTGAAATTTTTAAAAAGTGAGTGAAAGAACTTTAGCATCATCAATTATACAATTCCACTGACTTCAGCAGAATGAGGTTGATTTAATTTTACACAGAAATTTACAATTTCTGCTTGGACTTTTTAAACAAATCAGTATTAATGCAGATGCTTACAGAAGCAATCACCTATTCTGCTTCTGAGTCTCCTCATACTCCACAATTCAGTGCTCTGAATATCAATAGTTCTGTTTTCCATTTAGAGAACTTTTGAACATCAGGCATTTTTTTCAGAGAGGAAAAAAATTGGAGATTTTTAAATTGACTGCAGTTAAGGCACTTTGAAAATTGTACCTTTCTGAGAGTTTCAGAGGGGAAAAATTACTTTACATTTTCCTTTGTTGGAAATTATTACTTTTAACTTTATTGTAGCAGCTCATGGTAACTTTACTTTCAATTTGTTCTCTACTGTCAGCACTAGTCACATGCTTTTCCAATTGAATTTGATGTCAAAAGTATTCCCTGTGCAGATTTTACAGCACTTAGAAAAAGTAGGAAGATCCTCAACTCTAGAAAACAGCAGCTCTGCTCCTATGCTTTCATGTCTTAACCAGACTCTATGATTATTTTTGCTGAGTCACTTCAAAAATCTAGCAGAAAGGAGGGTTTTTAAGTCCAGCTTTGTTACTGTGTTTGGGTCAAGTTCACACAGAAAATAACAATCAGACAAAAATCTGGTTATTTCACCTGCAGATGAAGATGCTGCTAAGGCTGCCTAGGGTTTTTGATTCAGCACCTTTAATTTTTTTTAATCTATCTGATCAATAAATGTTAGGTTTGAGAGAGCTGTTGTGGCTTGCTCAGGGAAGGCACTTCCAGAGTGAGGACTTCTCTGAAGGAAAAAAAAAAAATCCACTTTGTAGCAGCAATATCCAAAAGCTTTGATTAGAGGGTATCAGTGCACACAAATTACATAAAGATTGCTTTCTACAGGCAACTGGAGTCTTGCCACTGACTTCAATAGGTTCCTATCAGGCCAAGCAGGGGGGCTGGTTTTGCTTTCTGCATTTCATCTGCTGCCAGAACATCCTGCCTTGGAGCTTTGTTTGTCCTGTCTGCTGAAATGGCTGCACTCCACCGAAAGCAATTCTTTCAACTTCAAATGCTGCACCCTGTAATTTATGAGTGCCTTTGGTAAACAAGCTTGGTTAATATGCTCTGCAATAGTTTTGTTGTTTTGTTTTCTTTTTTCCCGGAAAGGATGCTGCTTGATAAAGATCTCAGAGTGTAAATGCCTGCGTCCTCCCAGGCTTGGTGCTTTCTGGTCTGAAACCTCCCTGCAGAGGGCACAGGAAATGTGAAGGAGCCAGAGCTGTGACTTGAGGCCAGTTTTAACCCTACAGGGGGGTAAAAGCTGGGTGGTTCCACCAGCCACGCTCCTGGCACAGGAATTGGCAGCACAGACACCACACCAGCTCCTTCAAAGGCCGCCTCAGTGCACGCACACCCCTGCTCGTGTGATCTATATTCTGTTCTTGCTCCTTTCTGTGCAGGTGTTGGGAAGGTGAATGGGAAGATAGCCCAGTTTTTTGGCTTTCCGTTGTGCTGAACTGGTTTTTGTTTCTTTTTATACTATAAATGCATAAAAAAGAGGCTATCTGAGGATAAGACCAGTCCTGAAACAAAAATACTATACATGTAGATAATGGATTTTAATTTGTATGCCTCCAACAAGAAATAAATCTGATTACTTTACTGTGTTGATCTAAACCAGAAGTCAGTTCTCTGAAGTAAAAATTACAGCCCTGTAAACAGGCAGACAAGAATAATCACAAAATCACTAACTGTGCTCTTGGTCTCCTCTCAGACACAAAAATATCCAAATGTTTTGGATAACACTGGTGTAATAGAACAAAACCAAACACTCTACAGGTAGATGAAGATACTACAGTTTTATTAGCAAAAATATATAATAATAATATCATAATATTATTCAAATATAATATATATTAATATAGATTATATATTAGTATATTATTGTATAATCATTAGAGAAAATGGTATATATAATATATATTGTTATATTGTTATTTTATATAATATTATTCAAATATATTCAAATATACTATAATATTATTCAAATATATTATATATGATATATTATTGAATAATCACTATATAATATATTATTGTATAATATCTAGTATATATTATTATATTGATATTTTATATAAATAATATTCAAATATATTCAAATATACTATAATATTATTCAAATATATTATATATCATTGTATAATCATAATAGAATGTATTATTATATAATATATAGTATATATTATTATATTGATATTTTATATAAATATTATAAAATATATTCAAATATACTATAATATTACTCAAATATAATATATAAAACTATTCTCAGCACTACTTACCAGCGCCACACTGCTGACACCTTTACTGATACATTGACTCTTTTTTGAGTCAATCACCTTTACTGATATATTGATGAATTAAAAGGAAGCTAAGTAATTCAAATGAAAGAAACTCGAAAATTTACAGATATTCTAATTTTATTTTTCTTTGCCTTTGGTTATTTCCTTGCAGGCTGTGACCACATGCTTGCAGGTATTAGGTCCCTGAAGGTGGTTAAGAAGACTGGAGGAAAGCACGGCTCTTGGATGAAAGACCCCGGCAAAAAGCACGCCAAGATTTATTTATTAAGCGGCTCTGTGAATAACGTGGTTTTGGAATTTGCGAATATCATGGCTTTCATGGAGAACAACCAGACTCTGAAGGCTCGCAGAGTGCCCTTGCCAGTGCCCTGGGAAGGAACTGGCCACGTCATCTACCAGGGCTTCCTCTTCTACCACAGGCACGGCTCCTTGAACGAGATCGTGAAGTTCCACCTCCAGAGAAGGAGCGTGGCTGACCAGATGCTGCTGCCAGGGGCTGGGAGGGTTCCTGCCTACCAGCTCTCTCCACAGACAAAGATAGACCTGGCTCTGGATGAGCAGGGGCTGTGGGCCCTCCACGCAGAGCCAGAGACCGGGGGGAACATTGTCCTCACCAAAATCAACCCCGTGGCCATGGCGGTGGAGCACAGCTGGGACACGCCGTGCAGCAGCAGGGATGCTGAGGCAGCTTTCATGGCCTGCAACACCCTGCACGTGGTCTACAACTCTCCTTCTGGGGGCTCCTCCCGCATCCAGTGCGTTTATGACATTTTGGGGGCTCTGAGTGCTCACACAAACCCAGGACTGCATTTCCCAAAACGCCAGGGTGGCCACTCCAGCGTGCACTACAATCCTAAAGAGAAGCAGCTCTTCGCTTGGGGTGATGGGTCCCAGATCATTTACAAACTTCACACAGAGAAGAAAGTTTAAAACATTCAGCAGCTTTTTAAGCAGCCCTAAAAGCCACCAGTCCCAGGTGAACACAGCCTTTTATGTGTATTAAAGTTGCATTATACCCAGCTGTTACAACTTTCATCCATTTTACGTAACTCAAGACTTATGTACCCCAGTAATCTTAAAGCCCAATAAAGAATATGTGAAGACTGAATGAATATAAATTACATGATGACTAAATGCCACACATACACAACCCCTCCTGCCACCCCACCCCCAAATTAAAGTTTAAGGTTAATTTGAAAAAAAAAAAAATAGCCCATTTCTGACACCTTCTCTTCCTACTGAAACTATGTTTTCTGTTTCAATGCCATGGAAATCAAATCAGAAATCCTTCCTGTCCAAAATACAGTCTGACACCCTTTCCTAGTCTGAAGATCCCTATAGAAAGCCTTTTAGTAAGCAATATAAAATCACATGCTTCCAGAGAAATTAGATATCAGTTTTAACAGGAGAGGTTTATTTTACCTACACAAAGTGTAGGAATAGGCAGCCCCACAAACATGGTTTATATTTAACATAGAACTCTCATACATCACATCAAGGCTACTCCTGTTCATTGAACCTCTAGTGTTTCCATGAAAATTCCACACTTCCTATCCATATAGCTGTAGAGACCACTGTGGATCCTGCCAGTATATTAGCTGCAGCCAAATATTCACTTTTTTCAGCTTCAAGGCACCACTTTTCACTATTTTGGAGCATATCGCTGTTTGCGTGTCAGAAGGAATGTTCCTAGGTGAGCTCTTCTGGGTCACACACCACTTTGGAAGGTTTTACGTGTCACTTTTTGTTGTTATTGTCACTAGGTCTCTTTCAGCATCTACTTGTGAGGCATTTGCCCCAATGTTTCAGCTCCTATTGGTTACAGCAGAATCTTTCTCATCCCATCCTCCATCTCCAGGAAAAGGTGGCTCAGGTGAGCAGGGCATGGCACTGCTCAGTCCTGGGTTTGGGAATCACAGACAGGCTCTAGGTATTTTTGTTTCAAAAATAATGTTTAAAATGTTCAATAATGTTTAAAAAAGGCTTTTAATGTTAAATACAGGTATAGATTGTGTTTTTTCATTTATTTTAACGACAGCTGCATGTCTAATAGCAAACAAACAAACACACAAAAAAAAAAAAAAACCCTCTGAAAAACCACAAATAATGGTACTTGAAAAGCAGTCCACAGCTGTTGCTACAGAAAAACCCATTTTGTTCATTACACTGAGAGAGCTGTTGTTCTGTTTAAAAATAGCTTCCAGAGAACAGCCAGACATCAGGGAATGATTTTGAAAAGGAGTTCCAGAGCACAATTAGGAGTGTATAGACTGCTGGGCTGCACCAGTGACACTCTGCCTTTGTCACCCTGAGCAGGGCTAGTGAGTGGGGCACAGCAGACAGAGGGTGCACAGCCACAGACACCCCCAGGCTGCCAGGGGCGTGGGCTGGCACTGCTTTCCTGGCTCAAAGGCACAATTTGGCCTTTTATTCCTCCTCTGTAAAATTACAAACATGTAAACGCCTGAAAATGGTATCAGCCGCCTCTGTGAGAACTTTTACTGGAAATTACATGTAACTTCCTTTATTTAAGAAATAAAGTCTTTGGGTGCAAATGTGGATTGAATCTGCTTTTTAGAAGAGAGGTTCTTGGGATGTGCTTCGTGCACAGACAAAAAACAGCTTAAATCACTTAAATCAGCGTTGCTCACACTCTTTCTGGAGCACAACATAGTCCAGGCCACTGGTGCTGCAGCAGGGAACAAGCTGGGTTGGGGTAGCACATGAATTTTGTGGCTGTAGTGGCAGCAGCATCTCTGGGCTTACAGCACCGGTGGCAGGTGAGGGATTCACATCTGTGAATATGGTCTGCTCTGCTGATCAGTGAACATTCTTGTAAGAAAAAGGTGGCAGGCACTCTCCTCCATCTTCCTGGTAATCTCTGAAATATGTATGATGATTTCATTAATTTTCATAACATAGCACACAAGCAGATATTTTTGAGAATGTCAGAAGAGACATTTGGTTACCTCCCGGATGACAAAGGGAAAAAAAAAAAAAAAGGACTGCCTGTTCAGAAAGAGAAAGGAAAGAATGACAAATAACTGAATAATCTGCTCCAAGACAGCATCTCCAAAAGGCAAGGACAAAGGACTGTCAGGAGGCAGGAGACAGCCATGACAAGACTGCATGAAAGAGGGCATTGACTTCCAGTTCAGGTAGATGATACCATTGTTACCATGGAAATGGAATTGGTACAAGGGGACCAACACAGAGGAGTCTTCATCAGGAACAAAAAGCACAAATGAGTTTATGACCTCCACCTTCACCATCTAGATAACATCCATTACTCTCCTTGTTATCCAAGTCCGTTTATGCTACACTTTCTCCATGTGCTCGCTTTGCCTGAACCACTGTGCTCATTCCATGTGAACCACTGGCTTTCTGCTTTTTTGGGAATTCGATGCCCTGTGCTCTGACAGCAGGATCACCATCCTCCCAACAACAGCAGCCCTCCTCAGTGCTTGGGCTGTGCTGCAGGTCCCTCACCCCTCAGTGACACTGCTGTCACCTCACCCTTTTCCTGCCCCTTTCCATTGTGAGAGCAGGTGTCACTGCACAGATGCTCCTCATTTCCCTGCCCTCCATTCCCTCTGCCATCTCTGCCCCAGAAAGGTGGCTCAGGTCAGAATAACCTGCAGTGATCATGTCCTGTTTGCACTTGGAGCTGTCAGAATTATCACAGACAGAAAAGTTTTCAGCTCTCTCGGTTTATTGACACCCACGTGATGAATTTGAGCTTTCTGACATCCATGTGCTTTCTTATTTGGATTTTGTGGATACCAAGGATCTGTGCCTGCTAAAAACAACTTAACCAGTAGAGCAGAGTGTGCTGCTAGGAGCATGCCAGTTTAACTGGGTTTATTTTCACTGTGCCCATCGGAGATAAGCTTATTTGGCAGAAAATAATCCTCCTGTCTCTTTTTTCCTCTTCATTCCCACCTGCCTGAGTCTGGACGATGAGAGCCCCTTTTAGCATTCACTCAAGCAGGCACCATTTCAGAAAAACACACACTATATGTTTGTGACAGCTGGGTTTATCACTAAAAAATGCAACTGTTGTCACCCTGCTCTGTTATGGTGCATGTTTTTCCCCCTGTGCTGTTTCCCACTCAGTTGCATGGAAGCTCAGCAAAGAAACTGCAGAATCAAAACCATTAAAATGCAGCTCACTCTCCCAATACTGAAGAAATAGCTCCTCCTGAAGGCAGAAATCAGGACCTGTGGCTTTTTGAGTTGTTTGAACTTTCCCTGGGTTTCCGTTGCATAGAGGAAAATAACATTTTATTACACTTCCACCAAACTGAGCCCTGAGCCAGAAAAAGGAATGTGCAGAATCCCAGAATGAAGAAAGCTGGAAAAGATCTCTGAGATTATCGAGTCCAATCTGTGACCGGTACCATGACACCTCCAGGGATGGTGACTCCACCACCTCCCTGGGCAGCCCCTTCCAATGTCTAAACACCTTTCTGCTGGTGACATTTGGATATTACTCAGTCTCCTTTCCTGATGTTCATGCTGGCATGGGTATCATTTGTCTCAGAATTTAGTTTTGCAAAATACATCAAAAGCCCTTGTTATTTTAAATCACTTTTTAGAATAATTTCCAACAAGTAAAACCTTTATGTGGAAAAGGTTAATAAAAGGACCTTCTTAACTGCTCCCTGTGCCAGTGTCATATTTATTGCAGATAACCATCTGATGTTGCACTCATTTGCCTTGGAAATATGATTGGCATAAAGTCGTTGAAAAATGGAACATTTTATAATTCTTATCTGGGTACCCTTGCCCTATATTTGTGATAGATGATGTTAGAAATAATATTTTCATGAGGATGTCCAAGTAAAAATCCCTTTAATAGAGGATTATTACACTACATTGTTCTGTGACCTCAAAGTTAGTCATAATTTTCTTATTCTTAATAAGGAAAATGAAAGAATCCAACATGTGAACACTAATTGCTAATGCAACGAGTTAGATCGTGAACATCTTACACATTTTTCTATTATCCAATCCTTTGTTATAATTAATCTTCTATGTAGAATTTTTGGGAGCAGGGCTTAAATTTTGTACTTCTCACATAATTCCTGAAACTCTCTGTAATTATTAACAAATAACCAGACAGAATTAAGTGCTTTAGTGGACTTTTTAAATATAGGTTTTTCAGACTATTTAATTTAAGCACTACGTGTGCTTTATCAGAACATTTAATTTAAAAAATGCATATGAACAATGGCTTTTTCTTCTAAAGGTCTTATAGTGCTGGCATTATCACTTCAGCTGAGGGTTAGAAGACAAAGTGTCAGCATCATTTTCTGTGCACATTCTCAGTTTGAAGCCAGTAGCTGTTCCATGCAGACGGATGGCTCTCCTCAGAGGAGCTGCAAAGATTTACTTTGGCCTTATGCTCACAGTGTGTTTTTCCAAAAGCATTTTTAATGTGTCTGCAAGCTGCATCCTGCTTTCATGCCAGCTCTCCAGTGCCACATGTACAGCTGTGTCTGGGTTTGAAAAGATAGGTGGCTGCTAAGGAAGGCAGCAACATTCCTTGCAATGGAAAATGAAAACCCCCTCCCTCTGAATTATCGTAATTTTGAAATTAAGGGGCTCTCAGGCAAAGATATGGGAGTAGGAATAACAGGTCTATATAAGGAAAATTAATAATACAAATGCAATAATACAAAAATAAAAATAAAACACTGCCAGAGTGAGAGCAGGAGCTGCCCCCTGTGTGCCAGGGGGGTGTCCCAGCCCCATCCATGGGGGCTCAGCCCTCCTGCAGTGCCAGCTGTGGCTCTGCTGCAGCAGGGATCCTGCACAAGGGGGGAGTTTTCCTCTGCAGCTCCAGGGCTGCTGCAGATGGGCCTGGGCTCCCTCTGGCCATGCAGGGCAGCAGAAAGCTGCTCCTCTGGCAATGCAGGGGGCAAAGGCTGCTGGGATGTCCCAAAGCTCAGATTGGATCCAGGTAGGAATGCTTGGCTCCTCCCCTGGGCGGAGCATCTCCCCATGGGATGCTGGGATTGGATCAGCCATGCAGGGACACTCAGTGGCCATGGACAGCAAAGATCTCCTGGATGGGGGATTGGCTGTGGGAGAGAGAAAGAAAAAACTGCCCCAAGAACAACAGAGAACTGCCCCAGCTCTGACAGATGGAGACAGAACACACACCCCCAGCCACATCTTGTATCCTAAGACAAGCTTGTAAAAACAGCTTTGGCACAAAAGGTACAAAACCTGCTGTAAAGCTTTAGCTCCTCTTTATACATATCCCGAAAAAATGAGGGAAATGTCTGAAATCAGACATTTCAGTCCCGGTAGCAATCACCTCTGAAGTGTGTGCAGAACTTGTATCACTGTTAAAAACACAACCTCCTATGAGGGCTTCTAAAAAGTTCTATTTCAGTAATCATTTTAGCAAAAAAAGGAATTTTGCTGCATGCTATGAATTGCTTGTTTACTCCCCCATTTGGAGAGCTAGTCAGTACATCCAGAAAAAGAAGCATTTCCTATTCTGTTGTTTGACCATAAAATGAAAACATAAATTTTCAGGATTAATGCCAGCAGTAAAGTCAAAAATATATTGCTCCAAGTTTAAAGAACTTGCACTCAAACAAACTGAAACAACCTCCAGGCTACCCTGAATCCTTATTTTTCCCCCGTGGCATTGCTATCCTAAGAAAAACAACATATTCACATTCGTGTAGCATATTTGTTACCACTACATTCCTAGTCAGTCTGGTAAACAAATAACTTACTAAATTTCAAAGAAATGTGTAATTTGTGGTTGGGAATTATAGAATCATTAAGGCTGGAGAAGAGCTCCGAGGTCATCAAGCTTTGCCCGAATGCTGCCATTCCACAAATAAACCACAGCACTGAGTGCCAAGGCTCCTCCTCCTTTAAACACCTCCAGCTCCACGAGCTCCCTGGGCAGCTCCCCCCAATGTTTAACCACTCTTTCAGTGAAGACATTTCTTCCTAATGTTCAACCTGAACCTCCTAGTCAGTCTGGTAAACAAATTTACCAGACTTACTAAATTTCAAAGAAATGTATAGGTTGTGGTTGGGAATTACAGAATCACTAAGGCTGGAGAAGGGCCCCAAGGTCATCGAGTCCAACCTTTGCCCGAATGCTGCATTCCACAAATAAACCACAGCACTGAGTGCCAAGCCTCCTCCTCCTCCTTTGAGCACCTCCAGCCCCACCAGCTCCCTGAGCAGCTCCCCCAATGTTTAACCACTCTTTCAGTGAAGACATTTCTTTCTAATGTTCAACCTGAACCTCCCCAGGTGCCACTTGAGGCCATTCTCTCTTCTCCTCTTGCAGGTGACCTGGGGGAGAGGATGAGCCCACCTGGCTCCAGCCTCCTGTCAGGCACTTCTAGAGAGTGAGATCTCCCTGAGTGTTCTCTTTTCCAGGCTAAACACCCCCAGTTCCCTCAGCTGGACTCTCCAGACCCTTGCCCAGCTCAGCTGCCCTTCTCTGGACGTACCCCAATGCCCCTCCTGCAGTGAGGGGCCCAGAGCTTTAAATATACCCT